ATATTCCTAGTAGTGACCCACCCCCTCAAAGAGCAATCACACCGACGAGCCCTCAAACAGGTAGTCCTAGAGTTACAGCCGTTCATTTAGTGACCGTTTAAAGTTGTATCGGCACCGAAAAACGTGACTCACAACCAGTTTTCACACTTATGTCCGTCCCAGCATCCCAATGGTCACATGATCAAATCTGAGATGCTTGCTAATTGACATGTGTTTATGACTGTTGCAGTGTCCTGGAGTCATGTGATCACCTTTTGTGACCTACTGAGAACCAAAGTCATTGGGAAGCCAGGTTCGCTTAACAACTGTGTTACTAACTTAATGACTGCAGTGATCCACTTAATGACCATGATAAGAAAGGTCATAAAATGGGACAAATCTTATCTAAGCCTTGGTTAACAATGTAAGTTTTGGGCTCAATTGTGGTCGTATGTCGAGGACTACCTGAATAATGATTTCTTGCCTATTGATTCCAAGGGGAAATAGAATTGGATGGTGAAAATAATCCAGGAAGAAATGCTGAAAGAAATTGGCAGAATGAAATATGTTGCAGCATTAAGTGCCTTGATAAAAAACCTAACGCAGTCCACATTTCAATTTCTGCTGATATTGTACGATTTATGGCTTATTTTAGTTACGCTTTTATCTATATATTTCATCTCTTTGCGTTAGCCATTTGGAGAACTGGTTTGGGTGGAAATGGAGAATATCAATAATAGTAACAATGGCATTGACTCTGATGCTTTATTTATCGTGAAAGAGATAATGCCAACAGGGGAAATATTCATTGTGGGAGGAAAAAACGATCCACCCAAACTTATAGGCCCTTATAGAATTGTAAATGTCTTTATTAAAAAACAAAGAGCTCTCTGGCTATTGTCTTTAGAACTACAATAGTTAAATGCATTAACAAAAGCTACAATCTATCATATCCCGTACAAAATCTAATTGAATTCAGTGGAGTTTATTGTTGAATAGGCATGAACAATAATGGTGTTTGAGCCAAGATACACTGAATGAAGAAAAGAAAAGGGGTCCTATTCGAACTTTTAAAGTAGTACGGTGTTTCTCAACTACGGGGACTTTCAGGAATAAGGACTTCAACTCCCAGAAATCTCATGGATGGCGATGTTGGCTGTGGAATTCTGGGATTTGAAGTTCTATACCTAGAAATTGCTAAAATTGGGAAATACTGATGTAGTAAGTCAGGGGTGTCAAACTGGCAGTCTGTGGGCTGGATGCGTCATACGCAGGCCATGCCCATCCCAGCTCCGTGACGGGAAAAACCATCGAGAAACGTCACGTGATGGCAACATCATGCATAGTAGGTGGTTTTTCTCTTCTTAGATAAGAAGAGATCTGTACAGGATCATTATACCTTCAATGGGTGTGAGACTGTTTTGACCAAGGCTTCCTAGACCGTAATTACACATACACTTATTTTAAAAACAAGTCTTGTTTTATTACAATGCTGGGAATTATTTTCATTCCCAGCCAGTAATGAATCTCAAACAGTTCCTCGAGATAAGCACCCACCTTTCTTTTCTGTGAAGTGCTGCCAATAACAGAAGTGTCAAATGAACAACAACAAAAAAAACCCCAATCGTACAAAGAGCTTCAAGAATGAATCTGAACCAAATGAACTACTTTGCTTCCTGCAAAGGTTTCATCATCTTTGCCTGTCCTTTATACCTTATGGGAGGGGCAATCACCTCCCAGACTTACTCCTGAGTCACCCCTTTTGTTTCAGCTTCTCTGGCCTTCTAGCAGCTCTGTGCACATGCGCACTGGGAACGAGCTCCCTGGGTCCTCTGCCTTGCTGCTGCCAGACTCTGGAGGGTCCAGAGGCAGCACCCCACTCCCAGATGGTCCTGGCTCCATCTCTGCATCGAATGCAGGACCCTCATCCGAGTCCTCTCCAGACTCTTGAATTGGTCCTCGTTCTTCCCCACTGTCCGATTCAGCTGCTGTCTGCACAGGCTGCCAGCAAACCACAACAGAGACTTCTAAAAATTTCCCCTTGAACAATATGGGAAAAAGACTATTTTCATCCTAATTCTTGGTTGGAGCAAGGAGATACAAACTTCTTCTCATCCATTAAAGAAGAAAGTGAGGTAAATATGCACCCAATACATTAAGATTTAGCATGTCCCTACATCTGGGTGTTACGGCTGAGCTGGATAAAAAGGAACATGCTTAATACAGTGGATATTCATTACCTAACCTGAGCAAAAACACACTCTGATTTTGTTGTAAAAACAAGGACACATTTCATTTATGACATTTTAATCTTTCAGTTCTTTTATATCCTTTTAATGAGCACAGACATTACATTTGATTCGAACAGCTGGAAGGCACTGAGCCTCCTGATGCGAAAAAACACATTCTCGTATATAAAATACACTAAAACTCCTTTTTACAGCCCTGTAATCCCTTAATCATGTATAAAAATATACTATCTACAGGTAAGTCCTTGATGTACAAGCACAATTGAGCCCAAAATTTACTTATCCTGTTTTACGACTTTTCTTGCCATGTTCATTAACTGATTTGCTGCAGTTGTTAAATTAGTAACACGGTTGTTAAGTAAATCTGGTTTCCCCTTTAACTTTGCTTGTCAGAAGGTCGCAACAGGTGATCACATGACTGCGGGACCTTGCAACCATCATAAATGTGAGTCAGTTGTCAAGGGTCTGAATATAAATCACATGATTATGAGGAGGCTGCAACGGTCACATGTGTGCAAAAGTCCATTTTTCAGTGCTGTTGTAATTTCAAATGATTGTTCTGACCTAGGCTTCCTCCCAAAAGCACTAAGCAGACTCTTTGTCCCGGCAAAACCTCTTTTATTAAATGAAGGTGAATTTCTTGCATTCACTTTCAGCCAAAGGCCTGGCAAACAGTCTTTCAAGGGTATAATTAGGAGCACAGACCTTATCTAGCTTGGAGAGCTGCTAAGTAAATATTTTCAAACGCAGTGCTGACAAGGAAGGACTCGGCACAGAATCTCCGAGATGCACAGACAGATCTTCACACTGCTGCAATGAATGAATGGTTTCCTTAAGAAAAAAAAAACCCTCTTCCCTTTTGCTCCTCTTTTAATCCCTATTTCTTTTGGCAGCTGTGTACATGCGCAGGCTGGGAACCGGCTCTGCCTCACTGCTGTCCAATTTCGAAGCTGACAACTGCCAGACTGCCCTGGCCCCATCTCTGCCTCTAACGCAGAACCCTTGTCTGAGCCTTCCTTCCTCAGCCTCCAGGACTGGCCCATGTTCCTCCCAACCTCCTCACTGTCCGACACTGCTGTCAGCTCTGCTAGCTGGTGGGGGCGGGCACAACAATGGTCACTAAATGAACTTTTGTAAGTCTAGGATTACCTGTATTTTAAATACAATATGTATTTTATTTTTAAGTCTTCCCTTTGTTTGCCATGATTACTGGCTTAAGATAACTTAAGATAATCATGGGAACATTTAAGCACATCCATTAGGAAGGGGAATAATGTTTCTGTAGAAACTCAGCAAGTATTTTCAAGAGTGGTGCTTATCATTTCTTTAGCGTTCCCATCACAGCAAGATTATAATAATTCTGGAATGGGACTTGTTGGGATAGAGAGGAAATCCCTTGACTGATTTGTGAGAGAGCTGAGATTTTATAGGACACCAGCGAAGCCCACTGCTCAACTCATTTATGGGTGATTATGTATGGAGTAACCAGATTTTCCTAAAGGAAACCAACCCTGACTGTCCTTTGGAAGGACAGATGCCGGAGCCTAAGCTTAAATACTCTGACCACCAAATGAGAAGTGGGGACTCACTGGAAAGGACCCTGGTGTTGGGAAAGATGGAAGGCCAAAGGAGAAGGGGGTGGCAGAGGATGAGATGGCTAGATTGATTGGCATTGATGCAATGGCCATAGGTTTGGGCAAACTCAGGGAGACAATGGAGGACAGGCATGCTATGGTCCCTGGGGTTTCAAGAAGTTGGACATGACTTAGCAATAGAACAACAACAACGAACCAGGTTTTGAGAAGAAGAGGTGTGAAAAGGTCTCTCTGAACTTGATTTCAATGGAATCTTTCTTCATGGCTGGAGACCCACCACATGGATTATAATTCTGACAATATTCAAAACAACAATGAAGCTATCATGAGCTGACAATTTCATTAATTTAATTGGCTCCAGCCTTCTGGAATGTCAAGCTCCTTGAGTTGAGAGCCATCTTCCACCTTTTTGGCCTTCCGTAACACTGATGGGGGCATTCCATGTTGGAGGTGGTTAGTGGTCAAGGAGGAAGATCCCAACTCCACCCCCACCCCCCAGGGTATTCTGGTTTTATTGTATTTCTGCTTATTTAAAACTTCATGGTTTAATGTTTGTAGCTCATCTTTTATGATGTCTGGGTAAGCCACCCAGAGTCATTTGACAATGAGATGGGTGGAACATACATTTAATGAATAAATAATAAACAATAATTAAGTCAACTCTGAGGAATAGACATTGCTATTCCCATTTTACTCTTTTAATACAATATAAGACTGAACCAGCATTCACCTGAAGGAGGTTTAAATAAACACCACAACCATCATTAAAGAAGAAGAAGAAAATAATGTCATTAAACTACATTCATTCCTCTTTCCTAAGAGACACATTCTGGTTTTTGAGAGTCATATTTTGGACAAACTCAACGAAGATCACGATTGTTTCTGTCCATATAATCAAAATCCCACATAGGGTTTTGAACTTAAAGCAAGCAAACAAACAAAAAATTTGAGTTTACTTTCCAAATCCCAAAGCTGTTTTAAAAATTGTTCCTAGTCAATAAAAATGTAAACAGAATCTTTTTTGTCAGGAACTCAATTCCATATGATCACGATGAAATGGCAGAATAAGATTTAGGCATACAAATGTACAAACAACTCAGTTCAATTCCATGCGATGGGACACATTTATAATTCACATTCTTCTATTTACAACGTACTGGTATGAATTTGGTCATTATTATTTAAAGCAGGAGAAAGTTTGCTCTTCCGTATTTCTGTCTCCCTCTTTGGAAGAGTTCTGATGAAACAGTGTGGGAATCCACAGGGACATTAGAATTCGTTTGTATTCCTTCCGAAAATTTTGGTTTAGCAACCCATAGATTATTGCATTAAGGCAACTGTTGAAGTAGGCCATGAAGTAACTCACAACAAACAACCACTCAGGAATTTTAGGTGCTACTTCTGAAGGATTAATGGCCACAGCCAGACCTATTAAGTTCAACGGAGCCCAGCAAAAGGCAAAGATCACAAAGACAACAAACATGGTGAGAAAGTTTCGGAAGTCACTTGGTTTGATCTTCAGCTTCAATTCTGATTTGACTTTCCTCCTGACCCGTATCACCAGAATCCAAATCCTCAAGTAGCAGAAGGTCACAATGGTGATCGGAAGAATGAAGTGGATGACGACAACGGCAATGGTGTAACAGGAGCTGGTTGTTTGGGTGAAGGTGCACGAATAGATCCTTTGATCGTACTTGAGAGAGCCGACGAAAAAGTTTGGCACAGTCGCAACCACAGTGAGAACCCAGACAAGGCAGACATAAAACACCGTGTTCGGCCAACTGTACACTTTATTGTATACAAAACTGTGGCAAATGTAGCAGTACCTGTTGATGGCAATGGCGGTGATGTTGAAGATGGAACCTATCACGCTTAATCCCATCACAAAGCCACTTGCTTTGCAGTGTGCTTCTCCCAAGGACCAGCCGTTGTGAAAAAGGGCAACGAGGACTAAAGGATAAGGGTACAAGGCCACCACTAAGTCCGCCAAGGCCAAGCTAACCACAAACACATTGCCTGAAAAAGAAAAAAGAAGAGGAACAAAGTCAAAACTTTGGATCAATATTGGGATTCAATTTTTTTTACTACCAGTTCTGTGGATGTGGCTTGGTGGGCATTGCGTGGCTTGGTGGGCATGGCAGGGAAAGGTTACTGCAAAATCCCCATTCCCTCCCCACCCCACTAACCTGCTTTCCAGCTCCGTTCTCCTGTGCAGGGCAACAAAAGAAGCCCCAGCCAATCAGCTGGGACTTGGGAGGCAGAGAATAGATGGGGGCGGGGCCAGTCAGAGTGGTATTTGCTGGTTCTCCAAATTACTCAAAATTTCTGCTACCAGTTTTCCAGAACTGGTCAGAACCTTCTGAATACCACCTCTGCTTTGGATATCCAAAATGAAAAACTTTTTCAGATGTAAAGGACACATTTCAAGACTTTATGCACCCTTCAATTTGAAAAAAAAATCTGGCATGTATACTTTTTGTTTCTCTTGATTTAAAACATGGGGTGGGTTCAAAGTTCTCAGTAAAGAACATTCATCTCAAGCTTTCCTGGTTTTATGTCAGTATTCTACTGAAAAACCCTTCAGGTGACTCTGAAGATAATTTAGGCCATGGGTCCCCAGGTGATGGGATGATCTCCCATTCCTGCCCCAGCCTCCTCCTACCCACCTAGCAGTTTGAAAACATGCAAAAATGAGCAGATTAAAAAATGCCACTTTGGTGGCAAGGTAACAGCCTTCCATGTACCTTGGCATATAGAGTCATACTGGCCACATGACCATGGAAGCGTCTTTGGACAACGCTGGCTCCTTTGGCTATGAAACTGAGATGAGCAATGCCCCCTAGAGTTGGACATGACTGGACAGGGGAAACCTTTACCATTTTTTCTCCGTTCTTGTTTTAAAAACAGGTGAAGACTAGCCTCTTCCACCAAACTTTGGAATGGGGAATATGAATTCTGCATTGCTATGTTTTTCGATTCTCTCTCTCTCTCTCTCTTATCTATCTATCTATCTATCTATCTATCTATCTATCTATCTATCTAT